CTTTGGCCATAGCGTCTACCATGCACTTTCTTGACTGGGCCACTACGTTTACCCCCCATCCCCTTTCACCCTATCCAGCAGCCCCTCCTTAACCCTCGTTATGTTTGAGTCTCCTACCAGCAGCACCCTCTTAACCCCCCACTGCCTGTCTTCACCCCCTCCAGCTATCTGCGCTTTTTCTGCCTCAACTTCTGCTGCATTTCTCAAGCCCTGCTGTACTGCAGCACTATACAGCTGTGCAGACTCCTTTCCTGCACAGTCAATCACCTCGTCACTATTTAATTGGCCCCTTTTGTCTGCCGCCCCCACCGCCGTCTTCTCTGCCACCTCCCTCTTTTCCTTATTAACTACTCCTGTCAGTTGCTGCACCATCTCCTTACACTTCTTATGATCCTCCCACTCCGCCTTCCACTCTTCCCCCTATCTAAGCTCCTCCACCTGTCGCTCTAGTTCGGCTCGCTGTTCCCGTTCTCGCCTCAGCTCTCCCACCACGCTCTCTACCTTACTTTCCCATCCTCTGGTCATCTCCCCCCACATCCTCTTCGGCCCTCTTAATCAAATCTCCGACCCGCGCCTCGAGTTGAACCCGCTTCTCCCGCTCTACCCGTATCCCCCGCTTCAACTCCTGAACCATATCCGCCCCTTCCCTTCCTATTCTCCTAAAACCAAGTTCTACCTTCTCGCAACTCCGGCAGGCAAAGTTGCTCTCCTCGGCTTCTGCTACAGTTTTGAACTCCGTCTCCATCATGCAGCACCAACGGCCACACTCCTCACATTCTACATCGGGTCTTCCTTCCACTTTAGGCTGCGCATGCTTCTTCCGTCGCGTATTCACCATTGCCTACCGACACACGGCGGGACCCCAGGAAAAATATCCCACCAAGACTCAAACCAAGAAAGCCTGGGTCCGCCTCTGCCCTCACCACCAACTAACCCGCCAAAAGTTTCAAACGTGCAGGCGGTTCGGTCTCGTGAACCTACCTAAGAAGCCTGCTTTAACCCAACTATCCTATCGCAACTTTAAAAACTGCTTTCTACTACCCCACACAACCATCAGTGTAAGAGCAAAAATGCTTTAGAGCAGGGCGCTTAACCTGGAGGATCAACCCCAATGGAGTGTGCCTCAATTGCCTTTAGCGCGCAACACCACCAATGAAGAAGATCCAACAAGCAAGCCCTTCCTATCGCTACTTTAAAAACTGCTTTCTACTACCCCATAAACACACCCGCAACTAAACTAAAAACACCAAAAATCACTTAGCTTCGCAAGAGCTCAGGAAAACACGTCCTATTTGACAGCTGACGAGCAACCGTCAGCTGACAAACAGCAAGCAATGGTGACCACCAATGTTGCTTGATGGACTTTTGAAAGAGTCTATTTAAAGTCCCTAGATAAGAGCTTCCTACAAGTAGCGACATTCTTTGAAGCGCCGACTGCGTGACGGTGCAGGTTTCAAGACGCGAATGGCGGCGCACAGTTGATGTTTGAACTGAATGCCGCCATTTCGTTCCAGCGGAATGTGCTTTGCCATATATATTGGTTGTGGTTATTTGTAAAAGAAGTGTCAAGGTACTTTAGGTCTATGAATGAGCCGCAAATAATACGCTCAAGAAAATACGATGAAAGCTGTGACGTTGCGATTTTTTTGGCGTGAATTAATTGACGACGCGCACTGTAAGAAAATAAGGAAGTCGAAGGGAGTCAAACGGCCTTTCAAGTCCCACGATGAACGAAAGCCCCCCATCCTCGCGAACCTCCTTTTTCAATTAGAGAGAAATTGCTCGTTATAGAGTGGAGGGTGAGGTCTAGGTATAGTACGTCAACTCAAGGAGAACAGGAGAGGGAACCTTTCCCTCTTTCCACGTTAGCACAGAAAAAGCTGGAGTCCGCACTCCTCCTCTCCAACATTCGTTCTGCTAATGATGTAAGAGTGAAGAACTCACTCTCCTGCTGTTCTCGAGTTGCAAAGGAATACAACTCCCGTCACGACGGCCGCTCCTCATTGGCTACTGCCTGCCCTCCCGCCACCAGGCGGCATGAGACCCAGACCCAAAGTCTTCGCGATCTGCAGCTTCTGCCGAAGACACCGTTTTCGGGATGATCTGTTGTTTCTCATTAGCAAGCTTGCTTGGAAAACGGGGTGAAGTTTGTTTGTTTTACCGTCTCCGCTCGCATGAACTATCGCGGCCCAAACGTGTTTTTCGGTCCGCACGTCAACTCTCGAAGCGTCAGGCCCCGGGTCTCCTTTAGGTACCACAAGACTAAAACATACAAAGCGAAAACGTAAACGCACTAGTTTTCTTTTTCGTTCACAGGGAGCAGAGGGCAGAGGGGATTAAATTACAAATATCCTTCTTGAGAAGAACGACAAGCAAAACTACTCTTAGTTTTCATACCTTGGAGTAACGCCTTGACACCAAAAAGATATTTTTTTCTTCGTGCGTGTGTTGAGAACGTTTGCGTTCTAGAAATTGAAGCTGTGCATAATTTTTTTCTTCTGAGTGCCGCGTTAAGTTTTTGTTTGTTTTAGGTTGATGTATTTATGTATATATAAAAAAAATCTGTACCGTTCTTCGCTTCATCACAAAGAGACTGTTGACGGGGTGTGGACCTATCATACGGTCTAATCAAATATAAACTGATTTCCTTAGAAATTTTGCCTTTTTTTTGTTTTGCGCGTACCTGTAACACTCAACCAGAACCAAACACTCCGTCAATCAATTTCAAATATTTGGCTTTTTCTACTTTTTACTTAAATTGTGTTTATTCACGAGCACAATAAACACAGAACACGACGAGCAAACATTAGTTTTAACGGTACGCTGTTCACCTAGCACTGAAAGCCTCATATAGAGGCTCAATTTTCTGGACAAATTGACAAACTCGGTTCAAACTTTGCGTTTAGCCAAAAACAAAGTTTGAACCGCAGGTTCCTTGAAGAGCGCCGATTGAACTGCAGCCACAGAAGTGTGGCGTCATTGCCGCAGAATCCAATGGGCGCGCTCTGTAAACTTCGGCCCCCACTTCGTGTCTGACGAGTCTACGGCCTCTTGCTCTGCGACTATCACATCACAAGGTTGCATACCGCGCCCCCCACGTACGCTGCAGCGTGTCCTTAAACACCACCTCAACTCTCTTGCGTCACGCGTCTGCTGTGGCACTACTTTTGGGTACTGCGTATCTGTATAAGCTTCACCTTACCCAAATTTGTTTTCTGCACAACGTGCAGAAAACAGATTCAACAAATATGTCGTGGGTGGATTGGGATCAAAAATAAGATAAGAAAAGCCGCTGTTGACCGGCACGGTTCGATTTGATATAGAAAGACGTCACCATCTCTGAAGACACTGTGAATAGATAAAGTATTTTACGCGTAACAAGAGATTGCACGAAATGAGAGCGTTTTGTTGTGTGATGGCATACGAATTGCCTCACGGGTATTTTTTGAAGCATCGAATGATTTGATCAAGCGGCGAGTCAGCTCGCAACGCTAGACATGCTACTCGGCAAGCAATAAATGATAATAATTAAAAAAACTCTCGACATAAGTGCCACACGAAATTCCCGCGAGACACAGGCCACACCACCTATACTTCGTTTCACCTTATGTCCGAGCGCGGACGATGTTATGAGCCGAAGTGCCAATCAATCCGCGCAAAAAGCGCAACGTCATGGCGTGCTCTCTGCGCTTGACAGGACTAGCCGGCGGAGCAGCACCCACGGAGAGGCAACGGCGGATACCGGCTGGTCTTATCAACAGCAGAGGGCACGCCATGGCGTCGTCCCTCTTTGCCTGTTTGATTGGCCCTTCGGCTCTTAATATCGACCGCGCTCGGACCTAAGCTGAAACGAAGTTGTAGAATAATCAAAGCCTCCGCATCACCTCCTCTCACTTCATGAATCATCATCACTCTTGGATCGCGCTGACTCGGCTATTGGGCCCGAGTCCAACCTTCGACGCACTGATTGAACACGAGCCCCGGCCGAACACTGACGCAGCACTCGTGCCCAATCTCAGGCCTCGATTGATTTGACTGTGATGACAGTGAAGAGGTATTTTGCTTATCTAAGTGGTGTTGCTCAAAGTCGGAAGCAACCATCGCTTTGTTCTTCTACATCATGTATACTCGTTTCCACTCTGAGTACGAACGCAGCCGACGCTGCGGATCGACGGAGCCAATCAAACGGCGTCAAAAAGCGCGTCGTCAGGGAGCTCGTCTTTTTTGTACGTTCTGCTCTCACTAGCTAGACAAATCACGCACAACAAATGGGCCGCGCTCCTGCGCTTTTTTCTCCTTCTTTTGTGCCCGATTGGTTACGCTGGTGGAAGCAAACTCACAAAGACGACGAGCGTCGTGACGACGCACTTTTTGTCGCTGGCTGATGACTGCATCGGATCTTAGCAGCTGCCCTGCACTCGGAATCAGTAATCAGCAAATGCAGTATAGCCAACACCTACCATGTTTATCGCAACCCGCGCGCATTGCATTTTGAAGCAACGGCAGTCAGATCAAGCTGAGTTGAACGATAGTGCTATGCAGAATTGCAAGTTTGTCTGCTTCTTTGTCCAGGGGTCGCGATGACTTCAGAACGCCTAAGTCTGGTTGGCACTGACAGAAGGATGCTGAATAGAGCTTAATGCAAGCTGCCTTGAGTACTACTCACCTATCTTTCCATCAGAGTCAAACAGAGCTCGCCGTCGTGTTGATGTCACCCCAACCCTTGCAAAAGAAGCGGGCAAACTTGCGGTCCGCCCACGTCGGCGTTCGGCTTGGTCTCGAGTAACGTGAATGCGTCGAAGGACTCCCGGCGTCGGCTTCGGGCCATAATTGCTGAGTTGGAGACATCCGAGCATGATGATGTTACGTGGAAACAAAGGAGGTTGTTTACAGGCTTTGATTCGCCTATGTGGTGTCCGTGTAGATGCTCGCACACCTTCGTGTGTGTGCTGCGCTTCTTTTTTTCTTTTTTGTGGCCAAAGGTTTTAGAATTTACTCACGAGTACAGGAAAGAAAGGCTGGAAGAGCGAGAAGGCTGCCGAAATCCAGAACTCGCAGTACACCAGCGGGAAGAGCCACGCGTCCTTCTTGAGCCTCTGCAGACATCCCTCTGGAGCACCCTTCGACGACTGTGCAGGTTCGACTCTCGTCGAGGATCCGTACCAAGGAAACGTCCGCTTCGTGGCACTCTTTTCTCCGGAAAAGTCGTCGTTCTGGAGGCGCTCGGAGGAGGCCTTTTGGAAGACCTGCCGCTCTCCGCGTCTTGGCATGTCTGAGACCACGGGCGCACTCATGATGAACGGTAGTGCTTGAACGCAGCCGGGGCTCGCGTTGATCTGGTCGCTTATCTTGCACGAGAAAAGAAAGAGTATAACGTTGTAAGTGAGCGTACGACGACAATCATATAGTTTTTTTTTTCTATAGCAGAAACGCTGCTAGGATTGTTTGTCTTTGGGGAGGGGAAAGGGTCGATAATTTATCGCATCGATGAGGCGCACTGATAGCCTGCAATGAAGACTAGGTGTTATGATCAGCATGCGTATTTGCGAATGCGTCTGATAGTTATTATATCGTTGATAAAGGATAAACGACCTTGCTGCAATTATTGCTTGTGGTTTAGATTATGACAGCGCTTATAGACGAGAGGGCGCTGCGGTCAAATGCTCAAATCCGTATATAACCACGTTCCATACCACACATTCTCTTTCTGACATGGATGAAAACGAACGAAAGCTCGGCATGCTGCGGCTCAGCGTCTACGCTGACAAGCACCACCAGAGCTTCGCCCCAATCAACATCATTTACCACGTAGAGATGCGGTCAATTTTTTTTTTTTTTTTTGACATATGAAAAATAAACTACGTGTCGCCCAATGCTCATTCTCCACCCAACTGCATCGCTAGTGGCGCAAACCAGATGGTAAAGTTTCAAGACTAACCATTACCTTATTAAAAAGTTATATGTGATTTTCTGAAAAGTTCAGCGGGAAAATGGGTCCCGTTGTTGCCCGTTTTTCGCAGCCGGCGCCATAGAGCTTCATATAATCAGAGCTCTTTCAGCCTCCATTTGCCGTCAAAAATTTCAGAAAATCATGCATACTTTTTAATAAATTAACGGTTAGTGCTCAAGCACTAACCGGTATTTTATCTGGTTCGTACTGCCAGCGCTACAGCTAGGCTGAGAATAAACGCTGGGCGATCCAATATTTATATTTGCAATACAATATATATATATATATATATTTTTTTTTTTTTGGGGGGGGGGATTGTTTTGTATTTTTTGTTTAGCGCCAAAACGGAGACATATTTTAACAGCATCTCAGCGGGAATATATTACGCAGGCTGTTTTATTCTCAATGGCCTTCCTATATACGTTGAAATTACGTCGTCGACCATACAGGCATGCACCACGCCCGGGTTGCACGCTCAAGCGTTTGGCATTTGCTTCACTCAAACCTACTGCGAAATAGAGTTCAGCATGTGTTCTGTACACCGTCATGTTTTGTCTGAAACTTGTGGCCTACACGCGAAACCAGCTTTGGTCCAAATTGAATGGCTCCTTATCGCAGCGATCAGGCGATTGTGTTTCATGAGTCACAGCCAACCCTCCACCAATGACCTTAGCAGTACAACTGCTCGCCACTTTACTCTGTCCCAAGGGTACGAGAAAGTTCATGTTTCGTTGTCGATTTTGGCTGCAGCCGCGCGCGTTCACATCCGGTGAGCGTTTTCGTCATTTTCACTGAGAAGTGTGCAGCACTGTGCGTTCCCAATAAACTTAGTTTCAGCCTGCGCTTCCAAGAAAGTTGATCAAATGCAGGCAGATAACAGGGGTTCTAATCTGCACGGTAAGACCAATTGCGGTCCCAAGGTACCGGGGCGCGCCGCCTGCTGCGATTGGTCAGCACCGCTCCGCTGACCAATCCCAGAAGGAGGATCCCCATTGAGAAAGGCCAATATGAAGTCGGCTTATTGGAAATATTGTATTCCAATGAAGATGATGGGAACCAATAAAACGTACTGTTATCCGATTAGCCCAATAAGCACGATGGGAATTCATATCGGAGCACAATATCCCGATATAGTATGCGGTTATTGGTATACAACAGGATATTGGAGCACAATATCCCGATATAACTTGCGGTTATTGGTATACAACACGATATCGGAGCACAATACCCCGATATAATACACGGTTATTGCAATCGAATACGACATCGCGTGCATATTGGTGACCCACATGGACATACTGTACGGCCACACGATATACAAATATTGGTCGTCGATCATGGGACCAAAGGAGAATACAATATGATATCGCGCGCATAAATCTCAGAACGCGGATACCAAGTTACCAACATGAATTACGTTGGCATATCCACACGTCAATACGCGAGAAATATATTGGGTGTGGATACACACATAGTATAAACGTTCTGCGTTGCGAACACATTAACATTGATCGACAGTGCAAGTATGTACAGCTGTTAGTACGGCACACAGTACACACAGCCTCGCGCGTTTGAAACTAGACAACCACCAAACCATTCAGAATAACTATAGCCGGAACACCCGCCGGGACCTACCTTTTAATGACAAAGCCCAATAACGACGTGCTCATTGGAGTGATTGTTTTCCAACAAATGTTTATTGCAGTTGTAATGCAACAAAAGTTGATCGCCAAACGATAAACCCAACGTACCGGGATACAATTCGATGTTGCAACACAACATCGCAACACAACAAGAAACCATCGGTGTTGACACACAACCACCAGACCGAATACGATATCAATACGAAGTTACCGACGGCGAGAAACACATCAAACACGATATGTTCGAAGTTACCGGTGTTGGGACCGAAATCGAACACGATACGTGGCAATGTCGGTTCGCACGATAAAATAATGAGGGTGAATAGGTTTGACAGGTCACGTGCATGTAGTTGCTTCTTACGCGCACAGTTATCGATATTGACCCACCTTTCTGGGTAATCCTACGTGGTACACAAAATCCACGACGACATGCGAGCACATTTCACCCACCACTTTTCGTCGCCTGTTTCGCGAGATTCACACACTGTACAAAAAACGACGTGAAAAATACGTGCATTTGCGCCATCAAACGATACGTTACAGCCTCGTTTTTCGAGAAGATAGTTTCCATCGCCAACCCGCGCGCGCGCGCGCAAGCTCGCGTTTTGGAAGCAGTTGAACTTCAAACTGTTCGAACTGTTCCAACTTCGAAGGGAGCGAGCCCGGCGAGCCCGCGATGCCCGCGAGTCGGCGTGCTGCCGAGCCAGCAGAGCGGCCGAGAGAGCTGAGAGAGCCGAGAAGCCGAGCATGCGCAGTGCGCAGCGGGCGGGCGTCGGTTGCACGACCCGGCTGACCCGGTGACCCGGCCAGCCGGCGCCGTCGCGCTGCCGGCGGGATTGGCGTTCGTCCCACTCTGTGCTCGTGGGCATCGACCGAAACCTACACACTTTCAATTGCTTCGAAAGGTACGTATACACGACTTTATTACTTGCAGCATTGAGTGCTTTGGTGTACGCGCATCAAAGTAAACACCGAAGGACAGAAAGGAGACGTGAAGTTTTAAATCGCGGCCTTTTTGAACGCATGTGTCCCCTGTTGAAAACCTCTAGCTGTGCTCTGTTGCAGGCGTCATTTCGACTGCGCGTGCTCCAATGTAACGTCAGTCATTGTTCACACTCGGCTAGCTTTGCCAGTTTGTTATCTCATGTGCAAAATAGACGTAGAAATCAGCGCCGCGTCTCTTTCGGATATTCAGCCTCCAGCCCCCTTCCTTCCGGCGTGCTTTCTGCCGCGACCGTTCGGCGCATTGGATTCGCGGGCGCGTCAGGCTCGTTCGAAGCTGGTTCGAAGAGGCGTTTTTTGAAGCTGACGAGTCGCCGAAGTGTTACCGGGGCTTCTCTTTAGGAAAGTCGCAATCGACGCTCGGCGGCTCGGCTCTCAGCTCGTACTTTTCTCCTCCCGGGTAGACCATGAGTGGCGATGAACGAATTTGAAAAACGCTAGCGATTGACTTTGTGACGCCGCCCAACTGTGCTTCTTTCAACGGCGCAAAGCAAATAATGTACAAAAAAAAACAAAAAAACGCGTTTTTTATATTTTGTTGGCCATGTTTCACCTGAACGCAAAGTGAATCGCGGCTGAACGTCGGTTGACTCATTACTGTGCCTAGATTGTAACGGAACCTTTTTGGTGTGATCTTATTCTGATATCGTTATATCTCGCCTTTTCATCTTGGATGCACATTTCTAGACGACATTCTACACATTGCACTCCTTGTCGACATGTCGCTGGTGCTTGAGACTAATTGGAAGTCACTGTTTGCTCACTCCTTGGTGCACATATTTTATGTTCAACATCAGTTATCTGAAGGAGGCTCCATGAAACCCTGGAATTTGTTTAGAGGTACCTCTACACATTGTATTAGAGTGCTGTTTTGTGTGTTGTAGGTTCGTACAAAACCAAATTGCACTTTGTAATATACCTTATGACTGTTTACTACAATTAAAGTTGCAATGAAGCATTGGCCACGAGGGGTAACTCGGCCAACGTGGCCGACAAATTCCTCGCATAATTTTCTCCGTGGGTCATTTTGGATGTTGACAAATTTTCGTGTGAATAATGAGTGTTATGCACATATGTTTCTTCTACTTTTCAGACAGGTACATCAGTTAGATAAACCCCAGCAAAGGCAGCAAGAGAGTCTCATAGGGTCACACCAAGGATAACGGCATTCTTGTCCGAGTCCTGGGTCTTCTCACCGAACTTCACTGAACATAATGGTACATTTCCTTTCCTTAACTTTCTGGGAGCCAAGGGTGAAAGACTAGGCAGAGGTCATGACAGGCGGTCGGCGGAGAAGTCACGAGCTGGCGCGAGACAGTGCGTGATGAGCGAGGCTGGAGCTGGGCAGGAACATCGGAGCCGGGCTGCCTGGCCTGGCCCATGCCGAACCCCGGAGCGGTCCACCAGCGAGGTTTGAAGTCCGGACCGGTAGAAACGGCGAGTCCTGGCCATTTAGCCTAGGCCATGACGATCCCGGGGTGATTCCACAGCGAGACTCGGGCAGTGATAGCCCGGGACAGCCAGTCTACGCAGCGCTGGCGTGGCAAGGTCGATCCGCAGGCCTGTACACTGACTCCGACTGTGAGCTCTGATCGACGGGCGACAACAAGGGTCGGCGTGCCTGGACTGCCGGCTCCGAACGACGGGCAACCGTGAGGTACAGTCAACTTATTCGCTGTCTTCTCGTTGCTGTATGTCACTCCCTGGGTGACAGGCGGAGCGCATACCAATTGGGCGGTGATTATTAGTAGCT